CAGACACCTCCTCAGGTGTCTGTGGCTTTTTATTTAGTGTTTATACAACCCTTAAAATGGAGAGACAGGCATGGATGGGTTTTAGTCTGTTGCCTCAAAAATGTCTTCCTGCCAGTTCCTGGTTTTTTTGTTTACATCCTAATATCGATAACATGCTAGCAATTACTTGTTATTGTCTTTTGCAGGGACAAACAGTGGGGAACACATCCTTAGGAATGTGAAAAGGAAGTATCAAAGGAGCATCTCAAGAGAGTCCAAGACTTGGGGGGGGGGCATTTTGTAGCTTAACAACATATATAATATATACTTAAATCATCACCTTATTCCTTGTCTAAATAAACAACTTTATTGTTTTACCTACAGCGGGTTCTTTGGCTTATATACATACAGTGGTACCTTGGTTCTCAGACGCCTTGGAACCCAACTTGGTACCCAAACACTGCAAACCCAGAAGTAAGTGTTCCGATTTGCGAACGTGCTGTTTTGAGTGTTATGCTTCCGATTTGAGTGTTACACTGAGGTCTGTCTGTTATTGTGGCTTTTTTTGCTTTTGTGACTGTGTGGAACCCAGTTCAGCTACTGATTGATTGATTGTGTGACTGCAGTGCATTTTTTATTGCTTTCATTTTATGGATCAACGGTCTTGTTAGATAGTAAAATTCATGTTAAATTGCTGTTTTAAGGGTTGTTTTTGAAAGTCTGGAACGGATTAATCCATTTTGAATTACTTTCTATGGGAAAGTACGGCCTTGGTTTTGGAACGTTTTGGTTTTGGAATGGACTTCCAGAATGGATTAAGTTTGTGAACAAGGTACCACTGTACTATGTAGAGATGATGCAAGGGCATCATGCAGTGTGTGTGTGGGGGGGGGAGACACCACTTGACAGCTTATGAATGGAGTGGATTGACATTGTGAATTGATGTTATTCATTGATACAGTAGATGGCGCTGTGGAGCTGCTCAGAGCTCTTTCGCCGCTTGTAAAACGGAAAAAAAAACGGGTTACCTTTTGCCAGATGTAACTTAATACATCTGCTGCTTCTATAATGAATAACACCTGTTCACAATGTCAATCCACTCCCTTCAGTGGATGGCAAGGGCTCATTCATAAGCCACCAAGTGGTATTTCCCCACACACATTGCATGATGCCATTGCGTGATTTACATTTTGTTGTTGTTGTTTAGTCGCTTAGTCGTGTCCGACTCTTCGTGACCCCCTGGACCAGAGCACGCCAGGCACCTCTGTCTTCCACTGCCTCCTGCAGTTTGGTCAAACTCATGCTGGTAGCTTCGAGAACACTGTCCAACCATCTCGTCCTCTGTCGTCCCTTCTCGTTGCGCCCTCCATCTTTCCCAACATCAGGGTCTTTTCCAGGGAGTCTTCTCTTCTCATGAGGTGGCCAAAGTATTGGAGCCTCAGCTTCACAATCTGTCCTTCCAGTGAGCACTCAGGGCTAATTTCCTTAAGAATGGATGCATTTGATCTTCTTGCAGTCCATGGGACTCTCAAGAGTCTCCTCCAGCACCATAATTCAAAAGCATCAATTCTTCGGCGATCAGCCTTTTATGGTCCAGCTCTCACTTCCATACATCACAACCGGGAAAACCATGGCTTTGTGATTTACATAGTATGTATATATTAGTGTGTTTGAGCATATAAACTATGCAGACTTGGGTGCTTGTCTTGAGAAGAGCATGGAATAATTTTTTTTGGGGGGAGGGACATATTTGCCTCACTCTTCAAGCCCCCCTCCCATGCTCTGAGTGGCTTACAAAGGTCAAAAGCAAGACAGCCCTTGTCTTCAGGTTTGCACTCTAAAAGGCGTGGCACAAAAGGAAAAGGGTTGGGAGGGGGAGAGCAGTGCTCCATCTGAAGTTGGCAATGGACACTGAGATGACTTGATAGGAGAGAGGACTCTGATGGAGCTGGTTTCTCGGAAAAGCGGATGGGAACCCCGCTTAATTTCGTTCCCTCTGCTGCAGCTGTATGTGGCTATATTTGGAAAGATCTCAGTAAGTGATGAGGCAATGGTAGTTAACCACTAAAGGGAAAATACACAATTAACCTTGGTCAAATGTCAAACAATGAGTGAAAAATCTTATCATCTTATCTGTGCCAGTTCTGCCTTCTCTTAAGGCAAGCTCAGGGGAGCGGGAACACCTCTTTCAAATTGCCATTGTGGTCATTAAGAACCAGAGAAAAGCTGCTGGCTGGTGAGCATAGATGTGCTGCTTTAAGTCTGAGCCATACCTTTTATTTCAGATGCCAAGGAGCTGCTTCAAGGGCAGATTTAAGCTGGTTGATCTATGCTGGAGGCAAAGGCTTCATTCCTTCCAGGACCAGCAAAGTGACTTGAAGGCCTCTTCTGACACGTGCTGAGGCAGTGCCTCCTAAACCCCTGGCTGTTCCCCTCTAAGAAAACGTCGTTGCATAGATTTGGCCTGTTCTTCCCTGTCTTTTCCACATGACAAAAATGGCGCATTGCTGTTGATCGTGGGGAAATGTGTATTTTGAAATGGAATACTGTATCTTCAGGCAGGGGAGAAGTTGATAAGGCGTTTGTGTATGTGTTTTATGTATTTATTTTATCCGAAATATTTTCATTTTACCTTTCTGCCTGATGAGTGCCTGACAGTAACAGTGGGGGGGGGGGGAGCACAAGGAACATAATAAAGGCAGTAGAGGCTACAGTGCACAATGTCTTCATTTGTTGGCCTAGCTCCATGGCTGCTCTATTCTACAAAATAAAAATGTTTTTTTGTCTATGCACACTTCTTTTTTAAAGTATGTGAATAGCATACTATGTAAGGTAAAGGTAAAGAGACCCCTGACCATTAGGTCCAGTCGTGGCCAACTCTGGGGTTACGGCGCTCATCTCGCTTCCAGGTCACGTGGCCAGCATGACTAAGCCGCTTCTGGCAAACCAGAGCAGTGCACAGAAACGCTGTTTACCTTCCCACCAGAGCAGTACCTATTTATCTACTTGCACTTTGATGGGCTTTTGAACTGCTAGGTTGGCAGAGCAGGGACCAAGCAACAGGAGCTCACCCCGTCGTGGGGATTTGAACCGCCAGCCTTCTGATCGGCAAGTCCTAGGCTCTGTGGTTTAACCCACAGCACCACCTGCGTCCCCAACATACTATGTAGCTCAGCCCTAATATAAATGATAGTGGCAGCCTTGAGACTCTTTCTCAGGAAAGCATCTCTGCAGAGCTGGTTTGATTGAGGTTGCAATGAGACACATCTGGGTGTGTAAGCAAACACATACAGACAACAGCCTTCCTTACCCATTGGCTCTACTGCTGAGGTGTTATGGAAAGTTCATAAAGATTGCAATGACCCAGAAGTTTAAAAAACCTGGCAGCGCATGAGATGAAGGGTTGTTTGTAAGAAGGGATGGCAGAGAAAGGAAGAAGCAGTATCAAGTGTTGTGTTTGGGCAAATTATTCTTTGGCTCTTGTTTTTCTCTTTGCACATTTCTGCACCTCTTTTCTTTGTGGGAAGATAAAATTTCATTTGGTTAGAAAGGTTTTGATTGCAGTGGTACCTCGGGTTACAGATGCTTCAGGTTACAGACTCCGCTAACCCAGAAATAGTACCTCGGTTAAGTACTTTGCTTCAGGATAAGAACAGAAGTCCCCAAAAGAAAGCTTAGCCAAGTAAAATCTAAACTGAAAACTCAGAAAAATCCCAAGATGAAGATTTTAAGGATAATCGTCAAAACAAAAAAAAACCACGTGACAACTGGAGCAGCCAAGAGAAAATGAAGGAATATGAAAGGGATAAATCAAGTTTTGCTTACTTTTCAAACTAACTAGCCTTTGGATGTAAAAAGCAGCACAGAAAAGCACATAGATGGATAGGAAGTTTGCTTAAAGCACAGTGAAAAATGGGTAGGGGAAATAGAAAGTTTTTCTTTTAAAAGGCAACTAGAGAAGCCATCTGATGTTAGGAAATGTGTGAGGTTTTCATTGCTGAAGCTAGAAAAGCCAAGATTGAGAAGACTTTAGCGTAGGAAAGACTTGGGAGCAAGAAATGTTGGTGGATCCAGACTGATGAAGTGTAGCTGGTAACACAATAACTGAAAGCCCTCTGCAATGTTCTTAGTAATACTTTGATAATCACTTTTTACTGAAGCCAGGAATAGGAGATGAGAAGGGAGGGATTTGGGGAGCATTGCAGGCATACTTACTTCTTCTCTCTTACTAGAGTCTGGAAAGTCCTTATGTGTACCACCTTCCAGAAGTAATAAGTTTTTTGTTTTTCATCTAGCCCTGAGAGTGGCATCTAGCATCTGTAAGCCTCTCTTAGGATGAGTGTGCCAAGATTTTGGGGAATAGCAAGTGCCGCAGAAGCTGCAGCAGCAGCAGCAGCAAAATGCACTCATCATGGGTCAGAGTATTTTACCTAATTTGAAGCTATGGGGGAATTGCAGGTGGGCACCAAAATATTGTTGAGGGTTTTTTGTTCCTTGAGCTGTTTCTAAATCCATAAGGTCCCAAACATGCCAGCATTTTAGAAAGAGAAAAACCACAAGCAAACTGAAGGTGACTTTGCCAATTCCAGTGTGGAAAAGCAAAGAAGGCATTTGGAAGATGAAGCTGCTGATGGCAATGATAAAGAGGTGGTTTGTCTTTGGCTCCTGTGGAGGAGGAAATGCAGAGCAACTACTCGGGGACGTAGCAACTCCAGGACCCTGCGTGAAAGTGTATTATTTCTCTGAGGAAAGCTCTTCCTGGGTGACGTTGGGCCAGTCACTGCCTCTTAGCCTAACCTACCTCTCACAGGGTTGTTGTGAGGATGAAATAATGAGGGGGACCATTATACCACCTGTGCAGAAAATTATGTAAAATATGGGAAATGGACCTCAAAAGGTAATGATGCAAACAGGGCAGGCAAAACAATCACCAGTACACAATGTGGCTGTGACTGCAATAACTCAATAACTCTCATTACAGCCTACAGTTTCACTGAAAAATTCATACGCTGCAACCATGATTTTGGATTTAAAAATTGTTTTATTTTTGCTAAGCAACTTCTAGGAAAAGCTATTTAGTTCATAGCTCACACAGCATTGACTCTATCATATTAAACCTTGGATCATCTCCAGTACTTCCGTTTTCAAGGTGATACTTTTAAAATAACGATTTAAAAACTAGATCTAACTAATTGCTTGTTTTGCCTATAACATCTCACTTGTTGAAGGAAGGTAACTATCAAATACTCTTGAATTTTCAGAGGTGGCAACACACACAAATACCTAACAAGTGATGTCTGAATGCTAGATCATAACGATAGTAACAATACAGATGCATTCTGAATTAATGGCATCTGGGCGAGCATCTCTTGCTTCGCTGAAAAGAAATTTTACATTGTGTTCCATCCGCAGCTCTTTCTGCTAAGGCTCTTTTTGGTCACGATACAACCATCACACCACCTTCAGCTCATTGGATGAAAGGTAGGATATAAATGTAGTAACACATAAAATACAAATGAAGGTTCCCAAGGGGCCTGTACTGAGCAATCCTGTTCATTCAATCATTTTTTTCCACAAGAGAACTTGAAAAACCAATGTGGTCATCATCTGTGCTTCCAATCGAAGGAACTTCTGCCATCAGGGTGCCACTACAGAGTAGGTCCTATTCTGTGTTACCACAATGAGGTTCACCTGCTGGTAGGACAAACTAGTGTTTCTGGATCTCAGGCTAGAGAGGAAATCTCTATTGTGTTCCATCTGCGACTCTTTGTGCTAAGACTCTTTCAGGTTGCGGTGACTGAATCGTCAGAAGAAGCCCTATTCTGTGTCACTACAATGAGGCTCCCCTGCAGGTAGAACACTCCTTTTGCTCCAGCTCCTCTTTCCTTCACACTTCCCAGAGTTCACTGTACCTGAAGTGAGAGTCACCTGCATTTGGGCTGTGCTGCTTTAGGTAAGTTCACATTCCACCACTCAGTGGTCTTTTCTCAAGACAATTTTTTTTGTATCGGTCTCTCCTTTTTCCCATTTTTGTTTGTGGTGGTGTCTTCAAAGGTCTCTCCAAATAGCTCGCAACCCTCAAATGAAGCCAGCTCCTCCAGCAGAGTCCCAGAAGTCATAGTGGTAAGAAAAGGTGTTTGTTTTTTTGAAATTCATTTTCTGTAGGATTGGTGGAAGGTGGCTGGGGAGAAACTAGCGACTCTAGATCGCAGACCAAGAATGGGATCCGCAGGACACAATGTCACCCTCAGATGGACAAACAAAAGGGTGAACAGTTTTCCTTCTTTCATACCAAGCTTAACGGCAGGTTTAAGTCTGAATCTCATCTCTCTGTTGTGCCCCTCTAGATCAAAGGCTCATCCAGCTTGAAACAAAAATGGCAGTCAAAATGGCATTCCATGACTGAAGGACATTTAGGTGAGTATGCCTCCCTAGGCTAGGGAGAAAGTCTCTTATTGTGTTCTGTCTGCAACACATTGTGCAAAGACTCTTTCAGGTTGCGGTGACCGAGTTTTCAGAAGAAGCCCTATTCTGTGTCACCACAATGAGGCTCACCTGCAGGTAGGAGAAGACTTCTTTTGTTCCATCTTTTCTTTCCTTCAGGCTTCCCAGAGTTCACTGTACCTGAAGTGAGTCACCTGCATTTGGAATGTTCTGCTTTAGGTAAGTTCATATTCCACCACTCAGTGGTCTCCCCCCCCCAAGAACATGTTTTTTGTATTGGTCTCTCCATTTCCCCATTTTCTTTTCTGGTGGTCTCTTCACAGGTATCTCCAAAGAGCTCCCAACCTTCAAATGAAGCCAGCCCTTCCAGCTGAGTCCCAGAAGTCATGGTGGTAAGAAAAGGTTCACCTGCAGGTAGGAGAACACTTCTTCTATTGTTCCATCTCTTCTTTCCTTCAGGCTTCCCAGAATATGCCTTGCTTGGCTAGGGAGAAAATCTCTATTGTGTTCCGTCTGCAACTCATTGTGCTAAGACTCTTTCAGGTTGAGGTGACTGAATTGTCAGAAAATGCCCTATTCCATGTCACCACAATGAGGCTCACCTGCAGGTAGGAGACTTCTTCTTTTGTTGCAGCTCTTCAAGTTTCCAAGAGTTCACAATACCTGACGTGAGTCACCTGCATTTGGACTGTGCTGCTTTAGGTAAGTTCACATTCCACCACTCAGTGGTTATTTTTTCCAAGACAATGTTTTTTGTATTGGTCTCTCCTGTTCCCCGTTTTCTTTTCTGGTGGTCTCTTCACAGGTATCTCCAAAGAGCTCCCAACCCTCAAATGAAGCCAGCTCTTCCAGCTGCATCCCAGAAGTCATGGTGGTAAGAAAAGGTTCACCTGCAGGTAGGAGAACACTTCTTCTATTGTTCCATCTCTTCTTTCCTTCAGGCTTCCCAGAGTATGCCTTTCTTGGCTAGGGAGAAAATCTCTACTGTGTTCTGTCTGCAACTCATTGTGCCAAAACTCTTATCGGGTTGCGGTGACTAAGTTGTCAGAAGAGGCCCTATTCCATGTTACCACAAGGAGGCTCACCTGCAGGTGAGAGAACACTTCTTTTGTTCCAGCTCCTCTTTCCTTCAAGTTTTCAAGAGTTCACTGTACCTGAAGTGAGAGTCACCTGCATTTGGGCTGTGCTGCTTTAGGTAAGTTCACATTCCACCACTCAGTGGTCTTTTTTCAAGACAATGTTTTTTGTATTGGTGTCTCCTTTTCCCCATTTTCTTTTCTGTTGCTCTCTCCACAGTTCTCTCCAAAGAGCTCTTCTTAACATCTTAAGGTCCCCCCGCCCCCGTGAATGTTCTCTCAGGTTTTGCTTTTCCCTTTGTTGCATTGCTCAAAAAAAAAGCAAAAGACACTGGTGGTTGGTACTCCTGGTTCCCAGGACAGAGTTCAAGCCCCTGCGGTATCCATGCTTTCTTCCAATGCAACTGCTATCCCTCTCTGTCTTGCTATCCCTCTCTATCCTACATTGCCCAAATAACGACTGGCTCCCTTTTTCTTAAGCCAAAGTATTAGCATGGGAGGGGGGCGACTTCAGTGACTGAGCTTGATTCTTAACTCCACCATTGGACCAAAGGACCATTTCAAGCACCACGTCAATGTGCTGTTGCTGGGAAGATGCTCACTTGATGCACCACTGTTGTGTGTCTAGGTCAGCTGAATCCAGTGCCTGCTTCTCCTCCTAGCGTTCCCACTCACTGGTGTGAGAAGTCTCTCTATGCACCTTGTCTGTCTGCATTCCAGACACTACTGGAGGAGCAATTCTCCCGGCAAAGGTAACAGACAAGGTGACCTTATGGGGGAAACATGCTGTGGAGCTTGCTATGTAGGGTGGTGTTTATGTTTTTTTGTTTTTTAACAATTCATGATCAATTGCTTACCAATCTTCTGTCAGTAAATGGTGGATCATGAAGCAAGGAGAATTGAGGAGAGACCTTGGCAGATGCAACTTTGTGTGATGCAGGTGCAGATGCAACTTTGATGACAGGTGTTCTGGCAACTTGGAAAGTTCAGTGTCTATGTTTGCTTGCTTTCAGATTGGCAGGTACAACCCAACTATTGTGCAAGGAGGCCTCTGTTTCAAGGCTAGATTTGATGTGCTTTCTCATAACGGTGAGTCTGTTTTTGGAGGTCACGTGGCAAGCCTGCAAATTAAAAAGATATTTTTGAAATAAAAAGTGTCAACAGAGGGATTTCCAATGCAACCCTATGCTTATCTACTCTGGAGTAAACCCAAATTGGTTCAAAGGGACCTATTCCCAGCTAAGTGTATGTAGGATTGTAGCCTTTATGATGCATCAGACTTGGTCTACATCTGCTGAAGGGGACTTAAAAATACTTGAGTAGATATAGGATGCAAAGATTTTTAAGCGCAGACTTACATGTATTTGTTTCTTTTATTTTTATTTCAAATTTATTATTTATATTATTATTAATTATGCTTTAAAGCTTCACTTAGAATCCAAATTTTGGAAATCAATTTTAATTGTGTAAAAATAAAAAAGTGATATTTAATCAAAATTAAGTAAATAAATAAACTTCAGCACACAATTACTCATAATGGAAGCGGCTCGCTAGGGGCCAATGCAGCAAGAAGACCTGACAATCCCGCACAGCGGCGCAAAATTTCCCCCAGCCAAAGCCTTAAGCACAAGAAAACCGAGCCAAAAAGCAGTTTTAACACGCCTGCTACTATTGCTGCAGCTGAATGCGACTACGTGTATAACAGACTCTGATGGGTCGCCCTCGGACCACGAGTGCGACCAAATGGCGGCCCACAGCCAAGCTTCGCAGACCTGTAGAATATAGGTCGTTTGCCCACTTCAAAAATGGCCGCCGTAACCGTTAACCGTAAACGGTAAACCGTAAACAGAGCTTGTAATGAAACCCACGTGGCCAAAAACAACACGGACGCCTCAGGACAGCAGAAGCCGGTGGGCGAAGAAATAATAATAATAAAAATTATTTATACCTCGCCCAGAGCGGCTAACACCAATGGGTTAACTGTCAGGAAAGGAAGGGAAGCTCGCTATGAGGAAGCCCTGCAGCCTGCAGAATAACACAGCAAAAGCCGGTGGGCGAAGAAAGGGTTAACTGTCAGGAAAGGAAATCAACTGCCCCCCCCCTAAAGCTCCGCGAAATTAACCCACTTCGCTCTCCCAGAGCAAGCAAAGACCGACAGGCGCCCAGGAGGCCAAGCGAGGAAATGGGAGCAAATGGACTATATGAGATGCAGGGAAGGCGGGACACACACACACACATTCTTAGGTCTGAGGAAAGGTCCCAGTGGCTGCGCAGAGCCACGAAGCAGCCCCTTGCCCTTCACTCACACAGCTGGGCAACTTAAGAGTAGAAGGGGGTGTAATGAGGGCTCCAAATGGCGGGTTTCCCTCCCGTCGCAGCGGCAGAGCGGCTAAGGGCGCCCCCAGATCTGCTCTCCGCTGTAGCTCGGGGGTTGGGGCAGCAGCTCTGCCCGCAGCGGCAGAGTGAGCCAAGCCCCAGCGAGGAAGACCGAGGAAGGCAGAAGCCGGCAGTTGGAGGAAGCTCTCCGGCTCGCGCCTCGGTTTAAATGGGGCCCGGCCACGCCCCCCAGCCAGCGGATTGGCTGGCAGGCGAGGGAGGGGGCGGGGAAGGGGAGTTCAGGGCCAGAGCTGCCCAGAGGAAAGAATAAACTATTTAGGTTTGGCACGACCGTGGCTAGGATGTTACCTGGAAAAGGGAAGAAATACCAGCTAAGGAAGAAGGGCTACAAAAACGGATGCAATGTGCTGAAAAGGCGAAATTAACAGAAAAACTCAGAGACAAAGACAATAATTTAAAAAAAAAAGACTGGGAACCATTACAGAAACAATGTAAAGAAAAGCACTCACGAGTAGGGTTTGAGAAAACACTTGCAGTTAACAGAAATCAATATAAAAACTAGATGTTAAAACGATAAGAGATAACAATAATATAGAGAATCCATATGAAGATAGAAGAAAGAAAGCAGGGGAAGTCAATATGGGGGGGACGGGGACCGGAAGAGAATAAATATAAAAACTATATATACTATAAAAAAACTATAAAAGATGATGTTAAAACGATAAGAGATAACAATAACCTGTGAGAATCCATATGAAGATAGAAGAAAGCAAGCAGGTGAAGTCAATATGGAGGAAAAACCAGAAGAGAAGGTTTAGGGAGGGGGAAAACTGGGGAAATGTACGCCTTTTATTTTGATGCTTTGATATGTTGTAATATGATAAACATGTAAAACTCAATAAAAACTTTTATTTAAAAAAGGAATGCCTAGAATCTTTCACCGCCTGGAGATTGTGGTGGCATGCAACAATATGCTCCGACAGATACGGTCCTTTTCTGGTGCTTGTTCTGGCAAAGATACAGATGCTTCCGGTTACAGACTCCGCTAACCCAAAAATATTACCTCGGGTTAAGAACTTGGCTACAGGATGAGGTCCCATTAGCTAAAGTGGTGCTTCAGGTTAAGAACAGTTTCAGGTTAAGAACGGACCTCCAGAACGAATTAAGTTCTTAACCCGAGGTACCACTGTACTGGGCTTCTGGGGAGATGTTAGGGGGTTCCTTTTTCATGTCCCCTCAGTGCGCACACACATATCATACATGAACTAGAGTCCTTCAGGTTTCAGTTCCCTCTCTTTGGTCTTCGGTTAAATCTACATTCAACTAACACACCCAATCTGCAAAAGGGCTTCAGTGAAAGTCCCTCTTTCAGTCCCTCATTGGGGGGGGGGCAGCCTTCTCTCTGCTGGTCAGTGATGGGAGAAGTCCATCTTCCTTGGCAGCAAGGCGTGCAGGCCGCTGTGGAGCAGGGTTGAGGGAACAGCTCACTGCCTGCAGGACTGATTTCTGAGTAAACACACATCTCTTTGAAGGCCCCCGGGGAGAATCATGCAGCCACGCCGATCGGCCCCTTGGGTGGATCGTCCTCACCCCCAAGTGCATGGCATGGGAGCCGCTCCGGGTGCCAGAGCACCCAGCTCTGCCACTGCTGTCACCTTGGCTAGGCCCATGGTCCCAAGCCAGCCCCTCTTCCCATAGCTTTTCCCTCAGCCCTTTTTCATGGTGGTCACGCAAGAGTGTGATGGGTTAATAAGTGGCAGGAAGTGATGAGCATGCCCTCCCCAATCCAACATCTTCAGCTGCAATCCTAAAAACATGAAGGGGCAAGGCCAATAGAATATACCAGCTCTAATTTCTAAGTAAACACACATCTGTTTGAAGGTTTATTCAAGTGTGGGTCAAGATGAAATGGCGAGGGAGTCACCTTAATAATAAGATGATGAAAGGAGCAGTGTGAAAGGCACTTATTTATTTCCAGAATGTATTAATGTGGGAAGAAAATACTAATTCCTCACCCAAGCCCTGCAATGATTGCATGCTGAAAATGAAGACATTTGCACCCACTGGATTAATCCTGCAAGGGACTTTTTTATGTGTCATTATGACCAACAGGTGGTGGAGGGAGCGAGTCACAGTCCAGTGAGTGAGCCTGCCCCTGGCTATGCTACTGGTGTTAGCCCTCTCACTGGTCAAAGCTGAAGGAGTTAAGGGGCAGAGGGAAAGAGACCCAGCTGGGGAAGGTGAAACAGGTTTGTAAACAGGACTGAAACCAGTTTAGGTTAGATTTATAAAGGAAACGAAGGGATTTTACTCTTCTGAAAAAGTACTGTTTATAACTTTAAAAAGAGGTACAAGTAAATTTCACCTGTGAGTTTATACAAATACACATACACATTCACACATTAGGTATCTGTCTAAAAAGTATTAGGAGAGGCAATAATGTTTAAATCAAATGGAAACGGAAAGAAAATAGAAGACCAAAGAAGAATTAATCCTAATCAAAGAGGGACAGTGGTGCAGCAAGGTCAGGTGGCACCGGGTGTGGACTTTTTTGGTCTCACCCCCCCCCCCCATTGAAATTGAAATTTGTCAAAGAGAGCCATGCAGGCAATCTCAGGTCCAGATCCTGCCTTCTCCCCCTCCCTGCCCCCCTCTGCCAAAGAGAGCCGGGAGATCTGGAGGGCGGCAATGTGAGAATGGACCTTTTCGGTGGTGACTCCGTTTGTGGAATGTTCTGGCACCATCATTATATAAAAATCATTTTTAACCAGGCCTTTGCCTCTCAATTATCTTTGGCCTTGAGTGGGTGGAATGTTTTAATCCTGCCTTTTAAAAATAGGATTTTCCTTTATTTTTTCTTTCATGCTGCTTTCAATGTATGGGTTTGTATGTAGGTATGCACATATATTGAAAGTTGCTTGGAATTACCATGGTAAAAAAGACCAATAAATTATTATTATTATTATTATTATTATTATTATTATTATTATTATTATTATTCACTATGTCCTTTTGAACAGAATGCTACAGAGCACATTTAAATACTGTGCTAAGCTAACTGTCCCAGAACCATGTACTCCCTCAAACAGGGTTGTATGAAAATAAACCCTAAACATAACCTCATATAGGCCCTGTTCTAAGAGCTGCATTGACTGCCAGTTCATTTCTGGGTCCAATTTCTCGTACTCACTTGAGTGTTTTAAGCCCTAAATAACTTAGGTCTCACATAGCTGAAAGACCTCCTCCTTCCCTGCAGAACCTCACAGGTGTTAAGGCCAGCAGAGAAGCAGCTCTTGGGAGTTTCACAGCCCTCACGATTTGGGGGTGGGGGTGGCCCAGAAGATGGTATTCTCTGTGGAATACCCTAAATTGTGGAATTCCCTCCTCACAGATATGTGTGTGGCTTTGGGCAAAAGATGGGAGATGAACCTTGGAGATGTGGGTTTTCAGGGCCCACTCTATTCCGTTGATTGTTAACTGTTGTAACTGTTTAAAATTTTGAATTTTGAATTGCAACCCACCCTGGGACCTGTTGGTAAAGGCTGTGTAATTAATGGCGATGAGTATAACAGCAGCAATGTGAAATAGTAGAAATTGCTTTAGCAATGTGCTTTTTTGGGTCACTAACGCTAGTAATCAAGAGGAAAGGAGAGCAAAATTTTCAAGTTCACAGGTCCTCATGATTTCCAGCTCTTATTTCAGCCCTGATACCTATAGTTGTTGGGGTTTTTTTTTTGGGGGGGGTAGGAGAAGGCGGGAGGTAGTTTATTCCCATGAAAGTAGACCTGTTTCAAGAGTTAAACAACAAACTGCTGACATTTTTTCCCCCATTTCCACCATACTTTTCTGCCAAAAAAGCTCTCAAAGCAGTTTACAACAAAAACGCAATCCATACAAACAGTGGATTATTTTGATGAAGCTGGTTATTTGGATATTGTGTTCTTAAAACCAGTTACTTGTTGGTGGCCCAGCTCCCCTCCTGCAATTTCCAGCATCTGACCTTCAGAGGAATAATACCAAGAAGTAGCACTCCTGGTAGGGTGACTAATAATAATAATAATAATAATAATAATAATAATAATAATAAATTTATTTATATCCCGCCCTCCCCAGCCGAATCCGGGCTCAGGGCGGCTAACAACAATCAAATAATCCAACATTCTAAAAACATTTCATTATAAAAATTAAAATCAAATTGATGGCAACCGTTAAGCAAAATTCTGTGCAGATTGCCAGAGGAGGGAGTCAGGCTGCGCCCTGACCAAAGGCCAGGCGGAACAGCTCTGTCTTGCAGGCCCTGCGGAAAGATGTCAGGTCCCGCAGGGCCCTAGTCTCTTGTGACAGAGCGTTCCACCAGATTGGAGCCGCAGCCGAGAAAGCCCTGGCTCTAGTTGAGGCCAGCCTAACCTCTCTGTGGCCTGGGACCTTCAGGATGTTTTTATTTGCAGACCGTAGGTTCCTCTGTGGGGCATACCAGGAGAGGCGGTCCTGTAGGTACGAGGGTCCTAGGCCGTATAGGGCTTTAAAGGTTAAAACCAGCACCTTAAACCTGATCCTGTACTCCACCGGGAGCCAGTGCAGCTGGTAAAGCACTGGATGAATGTGATCCCACGACAAGGACCCCGTAAGGAGTCTCGCCATGGCATTCTGCACCCGCTGGAGTTTCTGGGTCAGTCTCAAGGGCAGCCCCACGTAGAGCAAGTTACAATAATCCAGTCTGGAGGTGACCGTCGCGTGGATCACAGTGGCTAGGCCAGGGCAAGAGAGATAAGGAGCCAACTGCTTAGCTTGGCGGAGATGAAAAAAATGCCGCCTTTGTTATAGCTGTAATCTGCGCCTCCATAGAGAGGGAGGTATCGAAGATTACACCCAAACTCTTAACGGACGGTGCTGGCACGAATTGCACCCCCGAAAGAGATGGGAGTTGCCCCCTCAATCCCATATCGTCCAGTCCCAGCCAGAGGACCTCTGTCTTCGAAGGATTTAACTTCAACCGGCTCCCACGTAACCATCCAGCCACAGCTTCCAGACATCTGGTCAGTGTGTCTGGGACCGAGTCAGGATGGCCATTCATCAACAGATAGAGTTGGGTGTCATCGGCATACTGATGGCCAGCCCAAAACTCCGGACAAGCTGGGCGAGGGTGCGCATAAAGATGTTAAAAAGCATCGGGGAGAGTATCGCACCCTGAGGCACTCCACACACCAAGGAGTGGCGCGATGACAATTCCCCCCCAAGTGCCACCCTCTGTCCCCTAAATAAGAGTGCAAAGTTCTATGAAACAATTTGGTATTCTTTCTTTCATTCTCTCTTTCTTTCTTTTTTAAAAAAGCACTCTTTGGGTCTGATATATTTTATCAAATAAAAACAAAGGAACAAAATTTTAGGGGAGTTAAACAGGCTTGACATCCACTTGGTTGGGAAGTTGTTTTGGTCTCTTTCTCCCTACCCCACCCCTCCATTCATCCTATTAGTGACTGGATTAACTTTAAAGTATTCCATTCTAGATTAAAAATGTGCTTGTTCATTCAAACATCCTTAAGAATAATATACTTGTTAGTTTCTGCTTGGCATTCATACTTATGCTACTGAGTAAGATTTACTAAAATCCAGTTAACAATTATATAGTTAAAACAATAGGCATCTATGATGAAATATTACGTTTTCTCCCCCCCCACACACATACCCACATTGCAGGAGGCTGGACTAGATGACCCTCAGGATTCCTCCCAACTCTACCATTCTATGATTCTATAGGACAAAACACTATCCTACATATGCTTGTCTGAGTTTATTTATTTTATCAAATGTATACACCGCTTGATTGTAAAACCCCCCAAAGTGGTTTACAAGAGATAAGCCAGTAAAAGCAAGCAAAAATTACAGTTGTACTTTAAAACACACAAAAGTTAAAATAATAAAACAGATTAAAATGAACGCAACTTTCTAAGCATCTGGGTAGGTTTGTCTAAATAGGAATGTTTTTTAACAGGTTCAGAAAAGAGAATTGTAAATGTGTGTGCGTGCGCTTATACAGATGTGTGCCTTTCTCAAACTCGAAACCCCAGATGTTGTTGCACCACAACTCCCATCGTCCCTAGCTACTAGGATCAGTGGTCAGGGATGATGGGAGTTGTAGCTCAACAACACCTGAAGGTACGCACACACCCACACACCCCAGGTTTCCCTGCCCCTTTGAGCCACTGGGAGCCAGCTCTGTCGATGGAACCTAGTGGGAAGAAGCATGGGGTGGGGGTGGGGTTGGCTAGAGCTTTAAAATCAAGCGGCATGTCTTCTCCATCCAAGATGAGGGTCCCTATTCCACACAGAGGAGGTTTTGGGGGTGTTACAATCTGAAGGTGAGGGTGGGGGGAGTGGCGGAAAGAGAGGAATCCAATGCAAACATGAAAATAATGGCGTTGGAAGTGACCTGTGTGTGTGTGTGTGTGTGTGTGTAGACGATGCGTGGGCAGAAGTCATGGTGGTAAGAAAAGCTATTTTGTTTTTTAAAAAACACATTTTCTGTAGGTTTGGTGGAAGGTGGCTGGGGACAAACTAGGGGCTCTAGATCGCAGAAACATGAGGTTGTATCTCAAATGGACAAACAAAAGGGTGACCAATGAGCAATCTTTCTCTTTCCACACCAAGCTTAATGGCAGAGATTGAAGTCTGCATCTCATTTCTCTGTTGTGCCCCTCTAGCTCATCCAGCTTCAATCAAAAATGGCAGTCAAAATTGTATTCCATAATTGAAGGACATTTAGGTGAGTATTCCTTGCTTGACTAGGAAGAATATAGTGTTCCGTCTGCAACTCATTGTGCTAAGACTCTTTCAGGTTGTGATGACTGAGTTGTCAGAAGAGGCCCTATTCCGTGTCACCACAATGAGGCTCACCTGCAGGTAGGAGAAGACTTCTTTTGTTCAAGCCCTTCTTTTCTTTGTTCCAGCTCTTTGCCCCTTCGGACTTCCCAGAGTATGCCTTGCTTGGCTAGGGAGAAAATCTGGATTGTGTTCCATCTGCAACTCATTGTGCTAAGACACTTTCAGGTTGCAATGACTAAGTTCTCAGAAGAGGCCATATTCTGTGTCACTACAATGAGGCTCACCTGCAGGTAGGAGAAGACTTCTTCTTTTGTTCCAGCCCTTCTTTTCTTTGTTCCAGCTCTTTGCCCCTTCGGACTTCCCAGAGTATCCCTTGCTTGGCTAGGGAGAAAATCTCGATTGTGTTTGGTCTGCCACTCATTGTGCTAAGACTCTTTCAAGTTGTGGAGACTGAGATGTCAGAAGATGCCCTATTCTGCGTCACCGAAATGAGGCTCACCTGCAGGTATGAGAAGACTTCTTTTGTTCCAGCTCTCCTTTTCTTCAAGTTTCCAAGAGTTCAGTGTACAGTGAAGGGAGATTCACCTGCATTTGGACTGTGCTGCTTTAGGTAAGTTCACATCCCACCACTCAGTGGTCTTTTCTCCCCAAGAACATGTTTTTTGTATTGGTCTCTCCTGTTCCCCGTTTTCTTTTCTGGTGGTCTCTCCACAGGTCTCTCCAAAGAGCTCCCAACCCTCAAATGAAGCCAGCTCTTCCTGGAGGGTCGCAGAAGTCATGGTGGTAAGAAAAGGCTCACCTGCAGGTAGGACAACACTTCTTTTGTTCTAGCTCTTCTTTCCTTTTGTTCCAGCTCTTCTTCCGATCAGGCTTTCCAGAGTATGCCTTGCTTGGCTAGGGAGAAAATCTCCATTGTGTTTTCCCATTTTCTTTTCTGCTCTCTCCACAGGTCTCTCCACAGAGCTCTACTTAACATCTTAAGGTTTTCTTTTTCCCTGAGAGAACATTCCCAGAATGTTCTCTCAGGTTTTGCTTTTCCCCTTGTTGCATTGCTCAAAAAAAAGCAAAAGACACTGGTGGTTGGTACTCCTGGTTCCCAGGACGGGGTTCAAGCCCCTGCGGTGTCCATGCTTATTTCCAATGCAACTGCTATGTCTCTCTGTCTCTCTATCCCTCTCTATCGCACACTGCCCAAATAACAACTGGCTCCCTTTTTCATCCCTGAGGGAGGGTGACATAGCCACACCGCACCCCCTCCTGGGCCGCTCACTGCTCACCGTGGGCAGCACACCCCCCCAGGACAATCGCCGCTTGCTGCGGGCGGCACCCCCATGGGACGCTCATGGCAGGGGGCTCCCCTCTGGGATGCACCCTGTGGGCAGCTAGCCCCACCCCAGGGTGCACACCACCTCTGGAAACATGGATAAATAGGTCTTCTCCATTTCTGTAGGGTGGGATGTGAACGTTGAAGCCTGCTCATCACTTCGCTGCCCCGTATATCAGCAAGAATTGCAGCCTGCTGAATTGAGGAAATGGAAAAAAGCTCGACCACTGGAAGAACTACGCCAAGCCCACGGAGCGCCAGCAGCCCCAAAAGAAGAAGCGCCCCGCTTGGGAGGTGGAGAAGGCAGGCATGGCCAGGCTGCAGCAGAGCTACTCGCAGATCACTGCAAATGAGGTGGTTGATGAGCGCAATCATAGAAAACCTTTCCCATTGCGCCAGACTCTGCTTTTCTCAGCCACGCAAACCAAATCGGTAAAGGACCTGGCCCGGCTGAGCTTGAAAGATCCAGAATATATCTGGGTACACAAGAAGACCAAGTTCAGTACTCCAGCAACTTTGGAACAGAACTACGTTGTTTGTGAACTGCACCAGAAAATCAAGATGTTGAACTCCTTTTTGAGAAGTCATCTGAATAAGAAAAGTATTGTATTTTCTGCAAGCTGTAAAGAGGTTCTGTATTTGTTTAGAGTCTTCTGCCATCATCGAACTGGGCTCCCTATGCTGGCTCTTCATGGCAAGCAGCAGCAGATAAAGAGAATGGAAGTCTACACAGATTTTGTGCGCAAGAAATCAGCAGTTCTCTTTGCTATGGGTCTTGCGGCTTGGGCGATTGGCTTCCGTGCTGTGAATTGGGTCATTCAGTTTGACTGTCTGGAAGATGCAAATACTTACATTCACAGAGTTGGCAGGACAGCCCGGTATCAGAAAGGCACATGGCCAATTTGGTTGCCAATAAATAAATTTTGCTGCATATTTCTGAGTTTGTGGTCTTTCCAGCTAATGGCTCTCGTGCAGGTTTGTTTATTGTCTTACTTTAAATGTTGTGAGGATCTTAGGCCCTTTTCAAATGTGTTTTTTGGGGTGGGGGGTTATTGGGTTGTTTTTATTCTGATTATGTATTTTGTGGTTTTCTATTTTGGTTTTACTCTGTGAACCACCCTGACACCTCCAGGTGTAGGGCGGTATATAAATTCAATTAATAATCATCATCATCTCAGCATATTGGGGAGACTGTGACCAGGTGATATGGCCCATCAACAGTTAGCAGACTGAACAAGCTGTATCTTTAAGAAGACTGGAATGCTAAGAGCAATTTGAATACAGTCAAATTTTCCCTTTTTAAACAGTGTCCCTCCTTTTACTCAACAGAAGTTTGAGTAGAGCAGGGGTGGCAACACTGAGATGAAAATTGTGGTTGTAAACAATGGCAGAGGGTTGGAGGAAAAAGAAAAAGAAAAAAAGATAAACCAAGGCACTTTTAACAAGGAGATGAGTTCAACACAGCAGCTCTTTAGAACCCCAGAGTACAAAAAATGGCATCACTATTTCAGCAAAATAACTTTAAAAAATACCTGGATTTCACTGATGATGACAGCTTATGATAAAAATTGCTCATGCAGTTTTTAAGGTCCTCAGCTACAAAATTGTTTTGAAAAACAATGTCACAACAACTCCATAATAACATTTGAATGAATTAGCTGGAGGAATTCCCCGAAGTTTATTTCAAATGTGTTTTTTGGGGTGGGGGGTTATTGGGTTGTTTTTATTCTGATTATGTATTTTGTGGTTTTCTATTTTGGTTTTACTCTGTGAACCACCCTGACACCTCCAGGTGTAGGGCGGTATATAAATTCAATTAATAATCATCATCATCTCAGCATATTGGGGAGACTGTGACCAGGTGATATGGCCCATCAACAGTTAGCAGACTGAACAAGCTGTATCTTTAAGAAGACTGGAATGCTAAGAGCAATTTGAATACAGTCAAATTTTCCCTTTTTAAACAGTGTCCCTCCTTTTACTCAACAGAAGTTTGAGTAGAGCAGGGGTGGCAACACTGAGATGAAAATTGTGGTTGTAAACAATGGCAGAGGGTTGGAGGAAAAAGAAAAAGAAAAAAAGATAAACCAAGGCACTTTTAACAAGGAGATGAGTTCAACACAGCAGCTCTTTAGAACCCCAGAGTACAAAAAATGGCATCACTATTTCAGCAAAATAACTTTAAAAAATACCTGGATTTCACTGATGATGACAGCTTATGATAAAAATTGCTCATGCAGTTTTTAAGGTCCTCAGCTACAAAATTGTTTTGAAAAACAATGTCACAACAACTCCATAATAACATTTGAATGAATTAGCTGGAGGAATTCCCCGAAGTTTATTTCTGGAGAAGGGGTAAATCAGTTTTTATAGTGTCTCTCACTCTCCTCTTTCTGACTGGCGAGTCATGTGTGTGTATTTGTGTGTGTGTGCAAAAATTATTATGAAAATTTTCCATCCCTCGATGCTTTGAAAGGAGCAGTGCGCCTACTATATCCGTTACTGCACTCAGTTGTACAGTATTTGGCAAGTCCCTTTAGTTTCTGAGCAGGTGGATGAAAACCCCTGATTCAGAATTTGGTAGCTCCTGCGGTTGGCAAGTCTGGACAGATTCCTCACCCATACATAGATTCTACTTTGAGGTAACTGGAGCAGACCAGAAGTGAAGAAAGTGGAGATTTAGGTGCTCTTTTCACCCTTGTCAGAAGGAAACTCCATCCTGTGTGACTCAGAGGAATTTCTGCTTTCTTTGAAAATGCCCATGAAATTCCTTTGCTTTCTGGTTCCTCTTTTCCACCTGCTGCTCTGTATTCACTACCAAAAATGCCAGAAAGGCTTGCAATCACATTCAGGGATACAGATTTTATCTGGCATAATTGCTTTTATTATTCAAAGTAGAAAAGTAAGCTTGACTTAAAGTATTTCCCTTGCCCTGGAGGTGTTATGTACTGAGTTCAATAGGATCCAAAAGGCAGCAGTCTGATTGATCCTAGAACAATAGGATCCAGAATGCAGCAGTCTGATTGGTCCACAGGAGCTACCCAATCCAGCTCCAGGTGGAAGGGAATCTGCAACCTGATTGGCCTACAGGAGAATCCCGGAATTAGCCAATCACGTGGGGCCCATTGTGTAAATAATGTATATAAGGCAGACACTCTGGGGGAACTTCCATCCCTCCTCACTACTATGAGCTGAATAAAGAGCATGAAAACCATTCTCGACTCCGAGTATATTTCAGGAGGGAAGGAGTTGGAGGGGAGAGGGTTGGGTGGAGCGGTTCTTGCACAGCCCCTGGGACAAGGACCAAACCGTTGGCATTTTTGCCGTTCCTCCTCTCTTTGCCTATGGGTGAGAGATTGAGGTAAAGAGGGTTGGGAGGGAGTTTTATTTTTCTTCTATCAGAAAACTCGGGTGAGAAAATTTCATGTAGGGGCCCAGTGTTTCTCCTTTGCCAAGATGGATGTGAGAAAAAAGTGGACATTTGCTTGCATAGGGAACCTACTTACCTGATGAGGCGAGAAAACTCTGCAGGCTTCTGTCGAAACTGTTGGACTAAACATATGGAAAAAACTTTCTGACAATAGGAGCTGACAGTGGAACAGACTCCCACAAGAGGTGGTGGGCCCTCCTTCTTTGGAGCTTTTGAAGCAGAGGTTGAGTGGCCATCTGTCAGAAGAAGAAGAAGAAGAAGAGGAGTTTGGATTTGATATCCCGCTTTATCACTACTTGAAGGAGTCTCAAAGCAGCTAACATTCTCCTTTCCCTTCCTCCCCCACAACAAACACTCTGTGAGGTGAGTGAGGCTGAGAGACTTCAGAGAAGTGTGACTGGCCCAAGGTCACCCAGCAGCTGCATGTGGAGGAGCAGGGAAGCGAACCCGGTTCACCAGATTACGAGACTACTGCTCTTAACTACTACACCACACTGGCTCCTTTAGCTTTAGCTGAGATTCCTAAATTGCAGGGGGTTGGACGAGAGGAGCCTCGGCGGCCCCTTCCAACTCTAAATTTCTAAGATTCTGTTTCTATGAAACTGCAAGCTTATCCTATGCCGTTTTCCTTACCATTTTTTGAGCATTTCATTTAGGTTTGGATTATTTAACTTAGTATTCAACTAAGTCCCTCTCAGAGAAAACCCACTGAAATTAATGAACTTAAGTGGATCATGTATAATAACTTCAGTGGATCTGAACAGAACTAGCATTGAAAACCACCCATTTATGCCAGAAGACATGTGTGTTGATAGGGGGCTGAGGATGGGGAAATAATTCTGTTGAAAGGAGATTCCAGGCACTTGGAGGGAGATGACAACAGCAGCAGCAGCAACAACACCTGTGAGATTGGCGGATTTTGCTGAAATTTGAGTGAGGAGTGCCAGCACAATCCTATATAGTTTATACTCAGATGTAATCCCCATAGGGTTTAATGGGACTTACTCCTAGATAGAACTATATAACTGAAGCTCCAACCATACTAAATATTTTATATATGAAAATATTTGAGGGGATGTCCTGTTTGGCAATGTTTTAAAGAGCCTTACCTGTCACCATGGTTTTATTCTTACTACGTAAAAAGGTAAAGGTAAAGGAACCCTGAATGGTTAAGTCCAGTCAAAGGTGACTATGGGGTTGTGGTGCTCATCTCGCTTTCAGGCCAAGGGAAGCGGCGTTTGTCAACAGACAGCTTTCCGGGTCATGTGGCCAGCATGACTAAACCGCTTCTGGTGCAATGGAACACTGTGACGGAAACCAGAGTACATGGAAACGCCA